AAAACAAAATTCTCACAGCATCTCTTCTGTTACAGACGTTTTTGATAAACTTATTTTAAAACGATCAAACTCATCAACACCAATGAAAATAGTTACTGCTATTTCTGAAAATATTGACTCAACTTCTTTCATTCGTTCTTCATTAAATAAATTATGTCAATCAAATATATCTCAAATTCTTAAAGAATTAAAAACACAAGTCAGAACAATTAATGACGCTAAAGTTGTTCTTGATATTCTTTTTAAAAAAGCGGTTAATGAAAAAAAATTTACTAGTCTCTATGTAGACTTTTATAAACAACTTCAAACAATTTTATTATCAACACGTGAAGAAATAGGAAAGGAAATGCCCAAAATTTTACTCGACAATGCACAACATTTATTTATTAATATTCCAGAAAAAACTGAAGAAGATCAAAAAACTGAAGAAGACTTAGATATTATGAAATTTGAATTCTTAGGAAATTGTCGTTTAATTTCTGAATTATATAAATCTGGTTTAGTTAAATCAGCACTACCTGTATTGTGTATGAATCAATTAGTTAATGGAGGGTTAATTGCATTAGAAGCTCTTGCTCAACTAATGAGTGATATCGGAAGTATTAATCAAAAAGAAATTAAACCAATTAAAGATAAAATTGTACAAAGGGTAAAAGAGGAATCTTTACCAAAACGTTATTGTATTATTCTAGAAAATGGATTAAAAGCACTTGGATTTAATGAAAAATTAATGTAAGAGAACTTATAATTTTCTGTTAAGTTTATATTTTATTATAAATATATTAAATTAATATCATTTTTATAATACCTTTTATAATGTTAGAATTTATTATTAAATAAATATAATTTCTCAGCTATTTAAAAAATAAATAAAATAAAAAGGGTTTTAAGAGAATTAATTATTAGTAAACACCAAGGAATTCAGATGTCTGGAGGAGATGTTGAAACTTTTGAAAATGCACAACCTATTGTTGAAGAGCTTCCTCAAGAGTTAAAAGATATTAAAGCTATTTTATATCAAGCACGTGCACAAAATGCCTTGACTAAAGGTATTAGACAATGCCTTAAGGTTATAGAAGCTAAAAAAGCACTCTACTGTTTTATTGCTGAAGATTGTGATAATGATAAGTATACTGGCTTATTGAAAGCAATCTGCAAAGAACAAGGAGTTAAGATTGTTATGGTCCCTCAAAAGATCCAACTTGGTGAATGGACTAATCAATGCAAAATAAGAGATGGGGCTGCTGTTAGAATTGCTAAGTGTTCTTGCGCTACAGTTGGATGCAATATTAAATTTACTGATGAAGTAAAGAGATTGAATGCTAAGACTAACTAAACAAGTAGTTTTTTTTTAATACAATTTTTTTGTTAATTTGTTTTTAAGTTTTATTAAGTACATAAAAATTTTATCATTGAAATAGTAATAACAAAACTTTTAATTCATTTGTATCCCTCATTTATTATTAATGACAAAAGAAATTAAATTTTGTGATTTTGGTTTGTTTCCTTGTAGGTGCCAAACGTCTGCATGTCTTGAGTCAAACTGTTCTTGTTTTCAAGGAAGAAATTTTTGTAGTCCATTATGTACATGCAATTGTTGCAAAAACAGAAAAGAAAATGAACAAGAAGTATTGGCTAAAGCCAGAAAGTTATTAGGTTTAGAAGAACCTCACCCAATTAAAAAAGAAGATTTACCAACAGAAAAGATCAAAAAATCATTGCATATTAACAACGACATAACAAGAAAAAAAAGTGTTATAACTCAACCTGAAATTAATAAGAAAGAAAAGCAAATGCTAATTAAAAAGATTAAAAATAACTTGAAGAATCAACCATTAAACAATTTATTTAATTTATTAATTAAAGATTTAACAAAAATAGAAATAAACAGTACAGATTTAATGAGTGATGAAGAGTATAATGATTTACTTCGAAAAGAACAAGATACTAAAATTATAAATCGTTCATTAAAATATATTAAAGATTTATTTGATTGAATTACATTTATATCTTATGTTTTTCCTTTAAATCTAAAAATTATTACTTGTTTGTTTAAGATATGAGTAATATCTCAAAATCAAATCTTATAATTAAAAATAGAAAATTTACAGCTGAGGCTTTATGGTCAATGGGACGAATTAATGGATATGACCTTTTTGGAGATACATTATTGTATACAGTTTCTTATTATGACATACCTAAAAATGGAAGTTCCAGCCATATCATCATTAAGGCATTAAATTCAAAAGAGTACATAGACCTTACTTCAAAGATGAGAGATAGTAATGACCAACTAACTAAAAGTTGTGCACAATCTCAAACCAATGCTATTTTTGATAAAAATGGAAGAGGAGTCTTATTCAATTCAAATGGAAATTTGTTTAAATATTGTTTTGAATCAGAACAAGTAGAACAACTCTCAACTGGTTCTTTAGATATTAGAGAATTTAAAATATCTCCAGATAATTCTAAATGTTTATTCATTTCATCTATTGACCATAGCTACAAAAATGAAGACTATAATGACTTACCTTTGGCTAGTGGAATGATATTTGAAGACTTAAACTATCGTCATTGGGATGAATTCAATACATCTCTACCTCATCCATTTGTCTCAAAATTAAATAATATGAAATTTGAAGATCACCCTTTTGATATTCTTGAAAATGAACCATATGAGTCACCATTAAAACCATTTGGTGGAATTGAACAATTATGTTGGTCAAAAGATTCAAGGAAAATAGCGTATACATGTAAGAAGAAAGTAGGAAAAGAATATGCCACATCAACAGATTCAGATATTTATATCTATGATACTGAAACAAAAACAACTATTAATCTTTGTAAAGACTTTGAACCAAAGAATTATGGGTTTGACTCAAATCCAATGTACTCACCTAATGGAAAAAAAATTGCATGGATTAGTATGGAGCGTGATGGATATGAAAGTGATCGTAGTAGATTAATTATATTTGACCTAAATACTAAGAAAAAAAGTTTCGTATCAGAGTGGTTTGAAAGTAATGTTGAAAGTTTTGATTGGATTAACGACTGTCAGATGGTATTCACTGGTGTGTGGCATGGTACAACACATATATATTTTATTGAAATAACTAATGATAATGAGTTATTTAACCATGAACAAATTACAACAGGACAATATGACTATAAATCTGTTAAATGGTTTGGAAATAAACTAATTGTTAAGAGACAATCAATGATAGAAGCTGATGAATTATATGAACTTGATTTAAAAACAAAAGAAATCAAACAAGTAAGCTTTGAAAATGATTTTATTTACACCCAAATAGATAAAGCTTCTGTTCAACCAAAGTGGATGAAAACAGTTGATAATAAAGATATGTTAGTCTGGATTATTTATCCACCTCATTTTGATTCAACAAAAAAATATCCAACATTATTATATTGCCAAGGTGGTCCTCAATGTGCTGTAAGTCAATTTTGGTCTTACAGATGGAATTTCTTATTGATGGCATCAGAAGGATACATTGTTATTGCTCCAAATAGAAGAGGGCTACCAGGTTTTGGAATGGAATGGCTAGAAGAAATTTCATTGAATTATGGAGGTCTTTGTATGAAGGATTTGTTAACTTCTGTTGACATAATGAAAAAAGAGTCATATGTTGATTCTGACAAGCTTGGATGTGTTGGAGCAAGTTTTGGGGGATATTCAGTCTATTGGCTTGCTGGACATCATCAGAAACGATTTAAAGTATTTATTGCACATGATGGGATATTTAATACAGAGGAACAATATATAGAAACAGAAGAAATGTGGTTTTCACAATGGGATATGGGAAGTGCAGTGTGGGAGGGAAAAGAAAAAAGTAAAAAAAGTTATGAAAATTCACCACACCGATTTGTTGAAAAGTGGGACACACCTATTTTGTGTATTCATAGTGAAAAAGATTATCGAGTGGTAGTGAGTCAAGGGATTGCGGCATTCAATGGGGCAAGAATGCAAGGAGTTGCAGCAGAGTTATTATATTTTCCAGATGAAAATCATTGGGTTCTTAAGCCACAAAATGGGATGCTGTGGCAAAGAACATTTTTTAGATGGCTGAGACGATGGCTAGAATGAGGAACGGTTAGAGAAGGAGAAGAAACAAAAAAGTTATAGAGAAAAAAAGTCAAATCATAGAAGTAAATTAAGATGGAGGTTAAAGAGAATTTTTTTAAGGGTTTAAAGTAATTTTAGAAATATGATTTGAGATGAGGAATAAAAAAGAAAAGATAAGAATTTTAGTAAGAAAGAAAGAGAGAAAATGGTAATTGAAAGGAAAAAAAAAAGAAATTAGAATCATAAAGAGGCAAAAGAAAATAGAAATAGAATAAAGGATTTTGTTGAAAGATATCTCAAATCATAGAAAGAAGACAGAAATTGGGTGTTATGTCGACTAATTCTAAAGAATGATATTAGTAAAAAAAAGGGGCACTATTTAATGTGGGGGTTAGATAGAACTCAAGAACAAAATGTGTTATGAAATGAATAATAGTTCTAAAACAAGAGAAAATACAAGAAAAAAACAAAGAAGACCAGCACAAATGTGGACAGCAGAAGAAGATGATTTACTTCTTCAAGGAGTTAAAACTTATGGGATTAATCATTGGAAAGATGTTAGTTCTATGGTTTTAGGAAGAACTCGGAAACAATGTAGAGAACGATATTTTAATCATCTTGATAATGGGATTAAAAAAAAAGCGTTTTGGTCAATTGAAGAAGACCGAATTATTGTTAAGCTCCAAAAAGAAATTGGAAATAGATGGACTGAAATTTCAAAATATCTTCCAGGAAGAGCACCTAATTCAGTCAAAAACAGATATTTTTCAGCATTATTTAAAAATCAAACAACAAAGACTGAAAATGATATACATAAAGGAGAAGGACCAAAAAGTGTATTTAAGCCTGTAGATCGACATTTGTATGATGTGATGTAAATAAATGAATGTTATTAAATAAAAAATTTGTTAAATGAAATTTCAAATAAAAACTTAAAAAATATAGAAAATAAAAATATGATATTATATGCAGCTGTTTCACTTGGTTTAGTTAATGAAGAAGATTTTAAAGGAGATACAGGACTATTAGTTTATAGTCTAAAAGACTGGGTATTTACATCAATTGATTCAATATTGAATGATTTTGAAACTGGAAAGGTTGATATTTCATCTTTTAACCAACACGACAAATTAATGTTTACTTTGACAATATTAGGAACTTGTTTTTCATCATTATCTGAAACATCAACTGATGTTAACAGAAAAATTCGGTGTTTAAAAATATACAAACAATGGCTGACAACATCAAATTCACCAATTCTTATTCAAAATAATTGTAAATATGTTAAAATGATTCTAGGACATATTTCATTACTCTTCTCTCCAGAAAAAATAGATGTTGTTCAGATATTAATATGTTAAAAACTGGAATGTTAGAAGGAATAGAAGTAATGAATGACTTTATAATAAATCACATCACAAAACCAACTTCATTATTCAAAAATGATAATGAAAGGAAGGACAGTATATCTACAATTATTGGAATTATTATTGGAATTATATTTGTTAACCACCAAAAACAATTTACTGAAGCATTCAATGAATTAAAAATAATAATAAAGTTCTTAACAAGAATGTTATTATGCTGTATCATAGAAAATGGTGTAGATAATATAATTTATAAAAAGTTCATTAAATTCTGTCCAGAGTTTCTTAATAACAAAGAATATAGAGAGGTATTTAATTCATATATTAAAACTATTCAAGGGGTTGTTTTAAAAAGTCAAGGGATAGAAAGTGTAATAATTAATAATGAAGGGTATTCTAATAGAACCGATTCAAGAACTATAAGAGTGATTTGGATAACTTTACTTTCTTGTATTCAACAACCTCAATTACCAAAACGTATTCAAGAAATGAATAGTATAGAAATAATAGAATTTAAAAGTATGATAGAAAGTTTAAATGAGTGCAATAGAACTTTATTTATTGAGGCAAATACTAGTAGAACAATGAAAGTTAAAACAATTCATAAATTATATTCACCATTATTTTTTTATACACAAACTCTAATTAGTAAAAATGATAATAAAGGTATTATTGGGAATGATGTCTATGTAAAGAATAACTCAACAATGATTTCTTTTTATACATATAATATTAAATATGTTGTTAGTGATAGAGAAGTATTTTCTGGAATGATACATTATCTACTTCAAGGATTAAAAAATAAAAATAATGAAGTTGTTATTCGTTTATTACAAAATATTTCAGATGGAATTGAGTGTGTTGGAGTAAGAGAGAGATTGTGTTATGAAACTCTAATAGAAGTTTTTCAAACTATCTTAAATAGGATGATTGATATTGTTCAAAAGAGTAATAGAGCAGAAGACCTTAAATCAATTTTATGTGTTTTAGGATCATTAAAATTCTATCACCCGAAGTTAGTTACAATTAATGATAAGAGGATTGGAGAATTAGTTGAAACATATTATATTTTGATTATAAAGTTAATGACTAAATGCACTAACGAACCAATTCAACAAGATCAATATTTCAATGTTATTGGGACATATATTGAAGATTTTAGTTCTATACAAAGAAGAGAGATGGCACAAATTTTAATTCAATTTATCATTGCAATGAATGACCATGAAGGGCTTATTCATAAAATGATAGAAGAAAGTATTAAAATAAAAAAGGTTTTTGAAAGCAAATGGAATTCCTTATTAAATGTTTTAAGTATTGTTTGTACTACACTTTATGTTATTGAAGTGGATCCAAATAAAAAATTAGGTGAATTTATTGAGAAAGTAGTTCAGTGCATTACATTGATCATAATTAAATTAAAATCCTTATTAACACGAGGGTTAATGATCAAATATCTTCATTTATTAATTACACTTGTTACACTAACTCCAGAAGTAGCAACCAAACACTTTACTGAAATAACAAAATTGTTTAATGGAATAGTGTCATGTAATTGTACAAGGGACGAAATTGATAATATGTATAAATATTATTTATATTATTTTTACAAAGCAGGAAATATGAGTATTAATGAAGATGAAAAAGAATTAATCAAAAAAGTCGATATGGAACAAGTTAGAGTTTTTGGAAGTAAGGATAGGTTAATTACAATTATCGACCAAAAAGATGGAAGTGCACAGTGTGTTGTTAGAAATTGGACTGGGACTCATTCAATTAAAATTCGAGGAACAGTTTTAGAAAAGAAAGAAGTTGAAGGAACTTGGGAAAGAAAAGAATTACTTATTAAAGGGACTGAAAATGGAGAGGTACCACAAACCATCAAAGAATATCTTGAAAAGAAGCATATTAAAGTTATAAAAAAAGACCAAATGGTTATCAGTATTCAGAAAATAGAAGAACATAAGAGTGAACCAGAGAAGAGATGGAACAATTCAACTATATCAACAAATATTTATAATATGATAGGACAGAAAGAAGAAAAGTGTATTATGTTTGAGAAAGAAGAATTAAACAAGTTTTATAAAGAAGCACCTACAATAATTAAATTAAATATCAAATGTAAGATAGTCAATGAGAAGTTCAATGAAATAATGAAAGGAATGAAAGAAGGAGAAGAGAAAGAAGTTTTTGATGAGATGTTAGGGACTAAAATAATTTTTCGAGAGAATAGTTTTTGTGGTATCAAAAGAGTAGGATTAGCAGAGTTTGAATATTCAAATAAAAAAGGAGATTGTGTAATATACATTAACGCTGAAAAAGAAGGAAAGACTGATGAAACATATTGTATAATTATTAAAGAAGTTGTTGGAGGGATCTATACGGCAATCATAGAAAAAACAGGAAATAATGAATATATCCAAACAGGTTATAAACATCCATATTCAATTATTTCCTCAGTTGAACGAGAATTGACTAATTTAGTTATTGAAAATAATACAGATATATTATTTATAAACACTAAACAATTTAAAGCTGTCTCAGAAGTTGATCTTAATCGTGGAATAAATGCATTGGAAGGATCTATATTATCAAGAGAATATGCAAAGAGTATTAATGAGAAATAAGTAATTCTAATTGGCTCTCTTTATTTTTTATTAAGGTTTTATTCATTTTATATTTAATTAAAAACCATTTACTAATTAAGTCATTTGTAATAGGAGAATAGTTTAATTAGTCCTAAAAATGAAATACATAATACCTTTTTTTTTATTATTATGTTCAAATTTAAATTTTATTTAAAATATGAAGTGAATTAAAATGAATAATAGAACAGTTAATAACTATAAATAACCAATTAGACTCTTAAAAGATAAAGATAACTTTATACACCTCAAAGAGTTTGTCAGAAACAAAAGATTTATATTGTTATTTTTTTTAATGATTTATAAACACATTAAATGATGTTCTAAATTAAATTGGATTATATTTTTTTAATATTTATATTGGTATTAAAATTTTATGTTTTCAATTATCATGTTAAACAACTTAAGAGTTTAAATTTTATTCCATAAATAATTTTTATGTTCTCTCAATGTAGATAAAACCTCGATGATATTATTCCAGAAATACTAATTTCTAATTGGTGATAATTAATTTAATAATTATATTTTGATAAAATTTATTTTAAATGAAAGTAAATAATCCTTATAAAAATAATCGATTTATTACTCCTATAATTTACAACAAAACAATCATATGTTGAGAGTTGCCCTTACTAAAAAATTAAATGAGAAAAATTATTTGTTTTGTTACATAAATAGTATAAACTATGTAAATTCATATATTTTTGTAACAATCAATAAACTCAAGTTTAAAAATATCCTTCTCTAGAAAATTTCTTATCAAAAAAGTATTTACTATAAATGATATCTTTTTCATTAATTGGGTTATATCTATCATTAAGAAAAACAATCAAATCAAAGAAATGACTATCTTTTTTAGAGTTTGAGTAAGTTGACACTTAACAAATAACTTTAATAACTTCAATATATGTATTGTGTAATATCATTAAATGACTCAAAAAAAAAGATAGAGAATGAAAAGAATTGATTTTTTTAGATTTTTATTTATATCTTTTAAAAAGAATGATATTTAAAAAGATTAGATTCTCTAAAGAATTACTTGTTATTGTATTAATAAAAATAGGCAAATCAATAAGAATAAATGATATAAAAAGAAAAATATCTTCAACTTTTTAAAAAAAAAGTAAGTTAAAAGTATTTTTGAAACAAAAAAAGTCACAGGAGAAAATGAAACGAATAACTTTAAGAAAATAAATAATATCAAATCTAACAACCAAACCAAAACTCACCACATCGACAAGTAGTAAAAAGGTCTTTTTCCGTAACCCTGGATCTAGTTGATTGATTTTGGAATGATTAATGAAAATACACCAAAAAGTTGTAACACAAATTTTTTAAACTCTTCAACTTCTCAACAACAAGAAACACCAGTTAAATTTATAAAATTAACAGAAGAACAACTTAATTATATCCATTCATTTAAACTTGGTAATGTTAAGTTATTAGATAAAGTTACATTTGTTATTGGAGTTTGTTTATTAACAATTGGGGAATATATAATATTAGTAAGACCAGATTTAATGCATATATTTTATATGTGTCTTGTAATTCCATTGGTAACAGGAAGATATTTAGTATATCGAATGAATAAATGGCATTATTTCTTATTAGATTTTTGCTATTTTACAAATTGTGTTTTAATTATAAGTTGTGTACGAGCATTCTTTTTATATCAAGATATTAGCTGGATTTTTCCAACATTATTTGTTGTAATTTTTGGTCCATTACTCACAGCTATTCCAATGTGGAATAATGCTTTAGTTTTTCATGACCTAACTAAATTAACATCAATAACAATTCATTTATTACCAGGAATGGTTGCGTATTGTATTCGATGGTATAGTGATTTAGATATTCCAAAAGAATTAAACTTTTATAATGGGTTTTTATTTCCATTATTATTTTATTCTACATGGCAAAGTTTTTATTTAATTTATACAGAAATCTTTAAAAGAGATTTAATTTATGATGAAGGATATATGACTTCTGTTCGTTGGTTAGTAGAAGAAAAACCTCACAAAGCTGTTTTATTTATGAGAAAGTTTTTCCCTGAAAAAGTGTCATCACTAACTGTTATGGTTATTACTCAGTTTGGAATGTATTTTGCTACGACATTACCCCAGTTTTATCTTTATAATAATAAAAAAGCTCAGACTTGTTGGATGCTCTTTTGTTTTGTTTATGCCATATGGAATGGTGCCAATTATTATTTTGAAGTTTTTGTAAATCGATATGTTGAATATTTACATAAATTTAAATCATCTCAAAAACAACCAAAAAGTAAGGATAATTGACTTTTTTGTTTTTTTTTTTTTTAACGAATATTATTTGTTTCAAAAGCAGTTACATAAAAGAAGGATTAGATGATTTTTGTTATTTGATGATTTATGATTTCTTAAAAACTTATCTGGAAAGTAAAATATATTTTGGATATATTAGAATGTCAATCATGGATGATTCATCAAATATACATGAGTATATTATTCTTATTGAAAATGGTAGAGGAGATGAAGTAATTAAAAAGTTAGAATCACAAAATAATATTTGGGTTGGAAGATCTTCTCGTGGTCTTAGATTATTGTTTAGTTCTTGTAAAAATAAGTTTGTTACTTAGAAAGAAAATATTTAATAAAAAAAAATAAAAAAAAGAAACAGTTTCATTCACATTGTAGTTGTTTACAGTTAGTTAAATATATTATTGAAAAATTTCCACATAGACTAAACTATCAAGATATTTATGGAAAGTCATGTATTTATGTAGCAATACAAAATCAACAATGGAATATTATTGAATATCTTATTAATAAATCTGTTAATTATCGTTTAGCAGATAAAAAAGGTAATACTGCTTTACATTATCTTTGTGAAATTGGAATAAATAAAAAAAACAAAGAGGTTTATGAAAAATTTATTAATCAAATGTTAAAAGATAAAGATGTTATTAACGCTCAAAATGAATTAGGAGAAACTGCATTACATATAGGTTGTTTAAATTCAAATGGTTTTGTTGTTAATAGGTTATTAGATAATAATGCTAATGTAACATTAAAAACAATAAAAGGATTAACCCCTTGGGATTATGCACTAATGTCTGATGAAATTTGTGTTGAAAGGAAAAGACTTGACCCATCAACAAATACAAGAATTGCAACTACTAAAGGGTCAAAGAAATCAAAGTCTTCTAAAGGATATAGAAGGTCAAGTAAAATGACTGGATTAAGTTCACAAATTTGCATTGAAGCATTAGATGAATATCAAAGATCTATTTCATTTATCAGTAAAAAACGTAGAAATAGTGTTTCTAGTTGTTCTAGTATTACAAGTTCAATAAAAAGACTAGATGATATTGATGTTAAAACAGAAGAAATTGTTCATAGAAGTTCATCAGCCGAAAGAAAATCAAATGATAAAAAAGAAAGTATTTTTTCTTTTATTATTGATTTTATTGAAAAAAAAATTGAGAGTGATTCAGATAGTGAAAATGATGAAAAAGAAAAGAAAGGAAAGAAAATAGATAAAAAGAAAAAAGTTTCAAATCCGTTTGTTATTTTATTTGTTAATGGTAAAAAAGACTTATTAAATTAGAATTTTATTTGAGTCTAATGAAGAGAGAATTACAAGGTATGGTGTTATTGCTGATGAATTAATGAAACAAATTGTTTATTCAAAGAAATTAGAAAAAAAAGAGTATCATTCAGGAGAAAAATTTAGAGTATTATCACTTGATGGAGGAGGAGTTAAGTGTATTTATCAATGTATATTGTTAAAAAGAATAATTAAAGAAATTCCTGATTTCTTTGATAAAATTGATTTAATAACAGGATTAAGTGCAAGTTCATTAGTTTCTGTTTCAATTTTACTTGGATTAGATATGGAATTTGTTATAAAAGTAATGGAGGCAGTATCTTTAGAAACATTTAAAAATGAATCACATCTTGCTGGAATCGCTGGACATCAATTTACAAATAAGTTTTTAAAAGTAATGGGTGAACGATTATTAAGTAATCTCACTATTAATGACCTTCCAAGAAATTGCTGTATTCAATCATTTCTTATTGATACAGGAAAAGATAACACTAAAAGAACATCAAAGGCAATGTTATATAATAATTTTATGAAAGAGACATATGATAAAGACCTTAAAAATATTTGTTTACAATCAGCAGCAGCTCCAGGATATTTTGATCCAGTAAATAATCATGTAGATGGAAGTTTATTAGTTAATAATCCATTTTATTTAACATATCCTTTAGTAATAGGAGAAAATGGATTAAATATTCCTAAAGAAAATATAGTTGCACTTTCTATTGGATCTGGGTATCCAACAGTTCCTTATTATGACATAGAACAAATGGGAAATGCTGGACTTATTCAATGGTTAATAAAATTATCAGATTTTAATATATTTGCAAGAAAAGAAATGGGAGTAGCAGAATCAAGAATGATGTTTAAAAATAATTATTTTAGATTAGACCCTCATCTTCCTATTGAAGTAGATATTGCTGATGCAAAAAATATAGAAACCATTAAGGCTATGGGAAAAGAACAAAATTTAGATAAAGTTATTGAATGGATTAAAAGTACATGGTAAATGAATATTGATTATTGAATTGTGATACAATTGGTTTTATGTTTTTAGAAAGAATAGAATTCAAAAATTTGGAAATGAACTAAAAAAGGTGAAATTAGTTGTGATAAATAAAAGATGTCAGATCCAACAGAAAAAATCAAAAAAGAAGAAGAAAGTATAGATGATTTTAGTCATAGAGTAATAGATATTAATATAGGGCTTAACAGTAATAGAATTGATCTTCAAATCAAAGCATTAATAGCAATTAATAATGAATTTGAAGAATATGAGAATTCTGGAATGAAAAGATCCTTTATTTCATTATTTAGGAATACAAAACCAGAGAAAAAAGAGTCTAATCAAAGTACTAAAACAAATCATAAAACTGCAACAAAGAACGAGTTATTATCCTTTTTAAAATTACATTCACAGTACATATTAGATCTTATTATTAAATGTCCTCATGAAGAACTACTTAGACATTCAATTCCTGTTATAGAACATATTAATAATAATAAATTATTAAGTCCACATTTTATTAAATCTATGTGTGATAATGCAGAAAGAATTGGAGGAACTATATTATTACGTGCTCAAGATATAGTTATTAGTGTATTTAATTCAATGTCATCTATTGAAAGAAATAATATTATTCATTCTGCATTAGAAAATTCAAAAAAAGGAAATTTACCTGCACTTCATATGTTATGTAAACTAATTCAAATACAAGCACTTCCTTCACAACAAATTGTTACTTCATTTAGTTTAATAGTTAAATATATTCAAGAATTAAATGAAGATATTATTAAAATATGTTCCATTAATTCATACATAATACCTTTAAAAAGAATTATCATTGGTGAATTTAAAGATAAAACAAATGATCCAAGAATGAGTATTGTTTTAACAGTTCTTGCTTCAACTACTCCTTTTGGTGGAGATGCTGATGAAATAAATAAAATGATTGAAGAAGCATTTGTAAAAGAAGTACCAAATCTTGGAGAACCAATTAGGTTGATTGGTAAAAGTGATGACTCTGTATTTAAAATTTGTTTAATGTGTATTATTGATTCTGATGGATTTACTGGTGCAATGAAATGGATTAGAGGGGAGTGGAGCAATAAACGAGCTGAATTTGCATTAAATATTTTAGAAGAAAGAAAAGAATTACCTTCAAACGCATCATCATTTGTTAAAGAAGTGTTTATTCAATATAATGTTTTAGTTACTCGGTCAATTGTTTATGATTTTGAACAAAAAGTAATCACTTTAGTAAGATTTGAAGGAGTTTATGGACTTAATCTATTATGGAATATGCTT